CACAGTTTGTGAACATATGAGGATATAAAATTCATGAACAGTTGGAACAAACTATGACACTTGAAAATTTTGTTAGAAAAAGAATTCCCGGCATGATAACATAACATTGTATTCTGTTACAGGCCTGCGCTCCGAATTCCGGGACAGCTGGCGCTGGAGGAGGGGCAGCTGGCACTGCAGGAGCCGGTGCCGGTGGCACTGGAGGAGCCGGTGCCGGTGGCACTGGAGGAGCCGGTGCCGGTGGCACTGGAGGAGCCGGTGCCGGTGGCACTGGAGGAGCCGGTGCCGGTGGCACTGGAGGAGCCGGTGCCGGTGGCACTGGGCGAAAACGTGAAGTCGAGCATGCACAAGCTATTGTCGGTACTAAAGCCAACTTCAATTGAAGGAATTCGCTTCAACAGCTAAAGAGATGTCAATTCTCATTGAGCATGCTATAGTCAAGTGCGGTACCAAATCAACAGTTCTATAGTTATATGTACAATTGTAACGGAACTTTTAAATAAATCGTCAAATATCTGTGATGTATCTTGTGCAATTTATATGCCCATTTTTTATTTATCAAATTTTTCCCACACACAGTCCACTAGCGTGCTCTGCTATTTTCAATATTTCACCCCTCCCCCCCCCCGAAAAACGTCGCACGAATTCTTTGGAATAATTATACTCATAGTACTATATAGAAAAAGAAAGGTCACTCCTCTACACATATAGAGCGGAATTACCTACACTTTGCAGAAGTGAAATTGAAGAGCACATTTTTGTACCAACAGTTTCCATAAGACTCTTCTGCCCCGACGTTATCAGAATGTTTTGGTTTGTTAGCACGGTGCACGGTACGAGCTCATCGAGCTCAACGAGTTCCCCGACAGAGCGTGAACCATTGTGACGTTATCACTTGCACTTGCTTGCCTCTTGCACAGTAGCAGCTATCTTCTCTCACAGGGAAGCTCTTTCAGGATATAGAGGGCTTTTTTGGAATGGTCTTTTATAGTCGATGGAACGAAAACGTATAGGTCAAGGGTTGACCCTGGCTGATGACAAAAGATTGCATTTTAGGTTAGCGCCTTATAACCATAAGTAGGGCCAAATTTTCCCAGCACCGTAAATCGCTATAGTACTTACGATTGGATCATCATTAATCTTTGTAAGTAGGTTTTTGCTTCAAACCTACGCAAAGAAATAAAAGAATTAATGGTGTTCAATCAAAGGAATGGGCGCTCAATGGCGTGAAATGGGGCTAAGATTGCGCTGTTGTGTCAATACAGAAAAAGCGAAGGTTCCGTGATCCACACGCTGTATCTCAACTATGGTGGAAATTTCAGGAAAAAACGAGTCTTTGACCAAATCTGGGAAATGGTGGCCATGCTATTAGGTCGGTCCATAAGTCTTGCAACAAACTGGCCAAATTTTGAATTTAATATTTTCATTATCTTTTTGTTCCATTCATCCAGCATGCTACCCACCATCAATATCTACAACCTATTGCCAACACACTAGTAGCTGCTCGATGCCTCCCTTGTAGGACTCTACTGAATTCTGATCGAAGAAAGATCAGATGTCGATTTTGACATCATCATAGTTAGGATGAGCTTTCTTCTCTAGGAGATGGTTTGGAGAGGGGAGCAGAAGGGCATTATTTGCCACGAGGTCAGGGCTATAACGTGAATACGGAAGAACTCTCCGTCCCAGAGTCTCGAAATTTTCCTGAATTTTCTTAGCAAGAGGTTTTTCAACGGTGTCATACAAAAGCAAACTTTGCCTTGTTTTTCTTTCGTATTAAAAGCGTTGCATTCGAGCTGTGGATAGTTGACTTTCGCGTTGACTGCGACATCTACACGTAGGGGTTTCCAGAGCTTAACTCCTCCCGTGTTCCACCAAAAATCGGGGGCTGCCTTGGAGAGGTTGATTTGAGCAATTAAGGATCTCGCGAAGCGTGAGCTGGATACGCCGCTTGTTTTCATTTGTTAGTAACTGTTACCATCTCATTCCGGCAGATGTGACATGGAATGGTGCGTGGAATCTTAGTAAGTCGACTTGAACATAACGGTGTCAGATCGTGTTTGGAGCTGAATCGGGCTCAAGGCACGTGGGGACCAAACTCTACATTTTCGGATCTTCACAAGTCTTTGGAGATGCCACAGTGCTGTCTCCTTGTCGCATCGGAATCGCTCTAGCAAATGATCGATACTCTATCCAGATCCCTTTTCAACGTCGGATATAGCATCGTGATTGTCAGTCACGGGGTGGTTGGAGTGTGGGTTATTTTAATAAAATCACTTGGTCAGAGGTAGGCCGTGCACGTGTAGTTTGAGGAGCGTGCCCTCGGCTCTTCTGGCCAATTCTTGGTCCAGCATGACTTGCGGAACATTCCAAGCAGTACTCGTAAAAATTAAGGGCACCGAGAGCCCTCTCGCAAAATCGGTGTAATATCCATAATAAGTAAGCAGACAACGAGCTGGACCGTTGGCTGAAATTGCAAAGGTTGATGCTACGTCAGGAAATATGTTGCGGATTTTCAGAGTTCTCCCTAAAATTCTATAGCATTAAATGTAGTTTGTTGCAAGACTTAAACGGACTATTGTATGGCTGGAGTAGGCGTTAAGTTATGGCTCCTTTAGATGTGCTCTGCGAGGTGAAGGTTGAGCGCGGTACGGTGTATGCGGTGTTCAATGGACCGTATTTTCCCGCCTTGGGGCACATTGGCATTCTACCTGATAGGACCGTGTTTGATTATAGCGCTCTACCTTGTAAAAAGGACGATGGAGAGATATTCGACTTCTTTGATGAGTAAGCGCACGTCTTGCCTACATGTTGTTTCGGTCTTCGAATATAGATTGGGCTAGTGCTGGTGTTTCATCTCGGGTTGATACATCATCTTTCGGAAGAATGAGATGTCGCTCTCAAGTCGTCAGGGCTAGGCAGGTGACTTATCGCAACAGTTTTTAATTTTCTTAACACGTTGACGACAACGCGCGTTTTGGGTTTTTGCACCGCGTGGGACCACGGCGATTTTGCAGGCGCCGCCGCCTCACATCAAATCCGTGAATTTTGAGCTTTAAATACCCAAAACTCGGATGCAACAAAATGTTTAGAATGATATTCGATGTGTCAAACTTATCAGAAGGGACAACTGTAAAAAATCGATCGAATTGACGTTTTCTGGCGATGAAAGGCAAGTTTCAGTTGCTTTTGCTGCAGTGAACCTCAAAATTATTTTTGACGCGGTTGCTCCACTAAAAACATATGTCTTGCTATATGTGTGGGTCTGTACTTACTTCTACTGCTCTTTTTTATGACCAAGATTATCAGAATATAAAGGAAACTAGGAATGAACACAATTGGGAAATTCGTAGGGCTTAGAAAACCTTCGCTAAAAAGGAGCATATTCAACCATTCGATGAACCTCGCCGTGTCTAGTCATATTATGGTGTGTCTATAGAATAGATGCAAAAAATTAGAAAAGAAGTAGCGCATGCGCGAAAAAAATAAATATTTTGTGTGTGCAGCGCATGCGCTGCACACGGTCCCACACGGTGCTCAAGGCAGGGTCAACCGTTACGTTGGACCGATATTGGAGCGACGTTGGACCGATGTTCACCGCTCTCCGCGCCGGCATTCACTCTCGCCACCCGCGAGCCGTCTGTGTCTCCGTGCGTACGTTCACTCTCGGCATTACTCTCGTCGTCGCGTTGGACTTTGTCCAACGGACGGTTGACCCTGCTCAAGGTGTGATGCGCATGCGCTGCACAATGTCGTCAACGTGTTAAACATATGTCGGAAACTCGACTCTCCGTTAAGCTCTGCTATGAGGGTTGCCCACTGCCTCGATCGCGAATATTGTATTCGTTTTCCACGCCGGGACCATTCGAGGCCTATTTAACGCAGCAACTTTGTTCCACTGGTATTTGTGAAATACCCAGTGTTGTTGAGGGTAACAAGGTTCCTGATCACGAATTTAATATCTATTTTGTTGCAGATGCCATTTGGGGCTAACCTAACGCCAGTCTAAAATGCAAGACGCTCAGATCGCAGAGAAATGAATAGTGCGCACGTGTGTCCTTATCGCTGTCTGCTACCCCACCAGACCAAGTCAGTACTAATGATACGTCTCCTAAGAGATAGCTGTGGTTCCTCCGGCACATGTCATTGACAGCAATTCATTCTTGACGAATTTTCGGGTTGTTTTGAATGTATAGCCTACGAGTAATTCCTCATATGCAATCAACCAATGCTACGTGTCATCATATAACGTCATATACACTGCGTTTCATAAATATAGGTCCACCCTAAATTTTTGCTATTCCAAAGTTGCTGTGCATTTTTGGAAAATGCCGCTATTACCAATAGTTTCCCCATAACGAAAAACCTTGATACTTGATTTCTGGAGAAATCTCGATTCAGAATTATTAAAATATCTTCCTTAGAACGTATTTTCACCGTTTCGCAAATATGACTACACATCACTTGTCGAGAGATTTTACTATAACGAAAAAACGTCACGAATTTTCAATAATGGGATGACCCCCCAATAATCATAAGGAACACAATAATACGTTTTGAAATGCTGGTAGCCAAATTAGCTATTACAGTAGGATCGAAATTCGTCTGGGCGCCGATGATCGACCTTTTCAGCTTTTCGGCTGTTCCATTTTGCTTTACTTTGCTGTGGAACTTTATAACAATTAAGGCCCAATGATTCTCTATTGGAATCTAATTCAGATAACATGGTGGCCACCAGATAACTGCCACATTTTTTCCTGCAATTCCATCTGGCGCGGAGGGACCGGCATGGACAGCCGCGTTATCGTGTGTGAAAATCAAGGATAGAGGGGATCCTTGTTGAAAAAAATGGTAAGACTCGCTTCGAAAGAACTTCACGATACCCTGTGGAATCTTTGTGAACGGAAACAAAAGCGAGCTCTAGCTACTCAGTCGTTCAAAGGTGCCTCAAACCATAAGGGATTCACCGCCGAAATTACGTTACATTGAAACCATCTGCGATTTTCACGCGATCATCCTGTACCCTCTTTTTCTGCCATATCCACCTAGAATAAACTTTTCCACGTCGATCTCAGACCACCTGTAGAACGAAACAAGGAGGTAGAGTCCAAGATCGCGAAGGGTCTTAACAGCCACACCATCGCTCATTAAGTTGAGCCCTTTTCCACGGAGAAATGGAGACTTGCGATCTTGTAGCGCTCAAATAATCTTGGAACGCTCTTCATCAATCCGTTGAAGATGTTATTGCTCTGCTGGCTTACTCACCACACGGTGGTTTTGCTCACGGAAGGCCGCATTTCAGTACGGACTTTGTTCGGACTCCTTGTATAATTCGAGAGAAGACACCCAATTCCTCCTAAATTTTGAAGGAAACGCAGTCTTT